TTGATGTCTGCTGGACGTTGGGATCGTGTTGCAACGTCAACCGGAAGATTTTTGAAGTAACCATGATGACGTCCTGGGATAAACTGTAGAAGATACAGCATGTCATTCTTCTTTGCAACAGTAATCGCTCTTCGATTAAGATAGAGGGGTTCTTGTTTTACTTCGAAAAGTGATTTCATCTTGAGTCCTTTTTGAGGCTTAGCGTTCTTCCTTTTTTTATTTCCTTCTACTTGTTTTACATTTATGGTTCTAAACGGTGCATCCTTTTTGATTGAATACTTGAACTGTATTTCAAAAGGTTTACTTCTTTCAAACCTCATCCATCGAAGCTTCAACCAGTTGACAATTTCACCATCAGTAGCCCTTTTTTTTGTTTGTGGCTCCCATATTTGGTGTTTTTTTTACTGGCTCGTTCAATCATCCCAAAATCTGTATCATTGGGGAGGAATGAATGTCCAGGAACCATGTACTTTAGGTCTATCTTTTCTGCTTTAATCGCTGGATCCTGCACAAGTTTCAACATGGTTAAAGAAGTTTTTATGTTGCGGTTCTGACCGCCACAACTGCCTGAAAATAGAACAATATTTTTATGTTCCTTTGCATTTCCTCTTAAATGCTTAGTAAGGCAGCTTGAAATATCTTCTGCCCCTCTTCCTCCTTCGGTCTCATCATAAACATACATGTGGGCTGTTGAGACATTGAAGCTATGCACCCCAAAGTTGTACATGTACATGTTGCGTTTATAATACGCGACTGAAGTTGATAATTTTGGAAAAGGAAGAGCTTTTTGTAAGTCGTATGTGCAAACATAGGTGTCATGCGATGCAGCTGCCTTGTCATTACTTAGCTCTTCTCTGGCAGTTTCAGCTAAAACGAGGTGATTTTCTTTCGTAGTTAAGAGATCCTGGCTTTTTGCTTCATCAGTTTCTGCATTGATCTGAATTTGCAATGCATCACAATCCTTACATGTATCTTTAGCAGGAGGTTTGAAATGAAGATTAAACTTCGTAGAAAAAACATGGTAATAATATTTTAGCTTGACAGGTTCCTTGTGTTCTTCAGAACATTTTTTTACATACAAATCATACATTTTTCTAACATTTAAGTCAGAGTTGAGGTACTTCTTATTAATATTGTCCTTTCGAGTGTAATGACTCTGGTATGCTGGAAAAGATTTTATATGAGCTACAACATCTGAATCATCAATCTTGTTGATAGGTTTACCTTTACCTCTACCATCAAGCACACCAAAAGCCTCTTGTGCGGTGAGGCATTTGTAAAGACGACCCCAGCTTATTTTTAATACGGAAAGGAAAAACTTCTTGCATACTTTGATGTCCTCCTTACCAGTTGGAATAAAGTACTGAAATAAAGTGGATTTTGGCGTACTACTGTTATCTCTGGGTCGAACCCTCAAAGGCACTTTTTTACCAACCATCCCCCGCAAAAAGGCGTTTTGTTTTGAATAATCACCTAGCTTCCAGAAAGTGTTAAAAAAAATCCTCCAATACTTTGGGATCATCAAACTTTTGTAGGCATCCCATCCGACAACTGCAGTCTACAGCTGCAAAAATATTTTCAGGTACTACTTTTTTCCTACTTGACAGGTAGGATTTGCCCTCACTTCTTAATTTCTTCCTTTGGTTTTCAACCATTCATTCTCTTTTCTTAATTTCTTTCTACCTCTTTTTTGAGGCGACTCCAATTGTGGGATTTCTGAAACAAAACAAATGTTTTAGAAATCCCACATAACATTACTTGCGTACAAACCAAAATATTGCTGATCATTAATTAATTAATTGGGCTAACTGATTGTACTGTATCTCATGTTGACGGCCTCGTAAGAATGGTATTTAAAATTTACTTTCATGTTAAAAAAAATATAAGCCTACCATAAAGTTAAGATATCGGATTGGATTAGGTTAAAATTAGGATGGTACTGTAAGTAAACTTAACCACGAAGTATAAAGGTAGGTTGATAGGTACCTTCTGGGAAGTGTTCCTGAGGGTCATCGACTAGCATCTCATCCTGAAGTTCTGGTAGTAGGTCTATGTCTTGAGGTTCAGCTAATCCCTCGACTTGCTGTTCAGTTGGCATCTCGTCCTGTGGTTCTAATGGGATGTCATGTGGTTCATCTGGTCTCTCGGCTACCTCATACTGTGGTTCTGGTAGTATTTCATTGGGCTGAGATGGTATCAAGTCATGCTGCCTAGGCCTAGGTGGTTTCTTAGCAGACACTGGTAATTTGGAAGTGTATTGCCGGGGCAGCCCTTCATACAGTTCGTCCTCAAGTTCGACATCATCTGTAAAAAAGCACTGAGTTTTAATTTTTATACATTTAATGTGTTATGTTATATTTGATTTTAATATCATAATTTAAAATCAAGCAAGTAACATATCCAGTAATACAATATTATTATAAAAATTAGGCAGGTATATGATACTAAGGGATTAGCTAGCGTTCATTTTCTTAAGAGCAATAAGGTATTAATTTCAGTGTAGCAAATAGCATACACCCCAAATTAACTCTAATAACTACTACTAAGTTATTACTAAGTTATACTATAATAACTTTTAAGAACTGGTGCTGTGTTTACCTTAATAATAAAAATACACAGACAAAAGATTAGGATAGCCTATGATATTGTATACTGTTACAAAAGATTTTAAAACAAAACTTACCTTCTAAGGAGCTGGAATTACTGCCAGAAGGAACCCATTCACTGTCTGAAGCCATTGTTATACAATTAAACACTCATAATAATCAACTAACAGTTTAAAATAACGTATAAGTACAAACAAAATGTAGGTAAACAAGCCTACACATTGACATAACCTCAAAACCGCACTTGGTCATCTGTTGCTCTATCTGAAACAATGTTGCAATCTAATTCAGTGCAATAACAGATTAGTGCGCATTCTAGTGGCAAAATGAGTTACTATGGACTTGGTTTGTTGTGGCACTGAAAGAACATGAATTTAGACATGTGTTGTCATGGTTACCTCAAAATCGATAAAAAATTGACTTGGTCTTATGTTGCTCTGAACCCTCCATATAATAATCTGACAACTTCTAGCGTATGTAACAATGTAACTTTAACCAGACTAGGGGGTGGAAAAGTTATTGGGCCTAGGGGCACCAAAATACTAAATTTGGCCCTGAGGATTTCTTGCCGGCCTTGAAAATCTCACTCTCCAATTGTATGCAGGAAAATACCTCTTTTTTTATAAATTTATAAATAAAAAACTTTTTTTAAAACAAAATGTTTTTAAATGCACTAAAAAGTAGAAAATAATTTATAAATATGTGGAGAGGATAAATACTTTTAAGATTTAAAACGAAAAACGTGGGGTGCATGAAATAGATAATTTAGAATTATCTTCACCTATTGAACTAATGTATTATTATCAATTGCATGCATCCCACGTTTTTCGTTTTAAATCTTAAAAGTATTTATACTCTCCACATATTTATAAATTATTTTCTACTTTTTAGTACGTTTAAAAAATTTTGTTTTAAAAAAGTTTTTTATTTATAAATTATTTTCTACTTTTTAGTTGTTAATGTGTGTGGATCAGGTATCACAGGTGTTAAATCTATTTGAAGCATCCAAACAAAAAACATGTGGGAAATCTATGGTCTATCTGAGTTTCTTTTCATATAATTATGTATTAGATTGAATGTACGGCCAACCTACTAACTATAAATATATCAATCTATTTAATTTATAGAATACAAAATAAATAACAATTGACATTATTAACAAACACCTTTATATCTGCAATCAGATTGTTCATCTTTATTTTGATATGTTTGTTTGTATAAAGAATCTCTTGGGAGCATAACTTGTACCTCTTAACCTCTGCTCTTTGAACTGTCAAATTTAAGTATTTACAGCTGACTTAAATTAATTGATATATTTACATTCTTTCAAGATGTAAACATGGAAAATTTGGAAGCCCATGGGCCGTAGCCCAAGGGAAATATGAAAATTAAATTATATAATATTGCATTGTCATCCATTTGTGAGCTATGTTTCAAATTTCATGTCTCTAGCTCATCGGGAACTTTGTATAAAATTCATATCAAAATTTGTAGGAAAGCCGAAGCGAGCTGATAAAAACAAGCCCATGGGGCGTAACCCGAGGGAAATATGAAAATTAAATGATGTAATATTGCATTGTCATCCATTTGTGAGCTATGTTTCAAGTTTCAAGTCCGTAGCTCATCGGGAAGTATCAATATTTGCAAGAAAGCGAGTTAATAAAAACAAGCCCATGGGGCGTAGCCCAAGGGAAATATTAAAATAAAATTATATAATATTGCATTGTCATCCATTTGTGAGCTATGTTTCAAGTTTCAAGTCTCTAGCTCATCGGGAAGTTAGTATAAAATTGATTGAAAAATTTGTACCGGACAAGAAAGCGAGCTAATAAAAACGTTTTTAAAATGTAACACATCGATGGTTTCGTAAATTTTTGAGACATCGTGGTTATTATTTATCAGATGATCAGCAAGTGCAGACTTGGGTTTGAGGATGGATGGTTTTGATAGGCGTTCCTCATATCTCGTTTAAAATGAACGGACATTTTGTCCAAAAGGTTTTGAACCTCTAGAATAATATTGTTAAAAGTAATCCGGAAGGCAACACCTAAAAAACATCCCTCATATTTGTATTTTAAGAGTGTTAAATCCTGCAATTGTCATAAAGTTATTGTTTGTTTTATAATGTACCTACTTGTAATCTGAATGTATACTTGTTATCTTGTCCATTGCAAAGATGCTTGTACTAAATTAAGTCTTCATTTTGTAAACTGACTTATGCCGTGTAAATAAAATTATTGAATAATCCTCTGCACAGCAGGATCTGCCATTGCTGATAATTAATATTGTCTGGGATTTGGTACGGACATTTTTTTCCAATTAAATACATTGTGTTCTTCATAGTTATCACAATAACTATTACTTTCTCATATCAGGTCACTTTCTTTTTTTTAGATGGAGGACCACACGACTGACTTAAGTAGCGGAGGAAGTGGGAAGTCTTCTGGTGGTGATCTATGAACCTTCCATTCAAACCTCTCTAGTCCTGAGTCAATTACAACACCAAGAAAAATGTCTAAACTTTTCATTCCACCGGTCTTATTGATTTGACAATTATCCTTGTCATATTTGTTACTGCAAGTGTATATGTTATTGTTAAGTATTTATTTGATCAGCTTTTAAATGTTATGTTCAATAATTATTGAGCACAATTTGCCCAAATATTAGGGCTTATTTTATGATTGAAATAACAACTGTTCTTTTGGTATGAGCACAAAAATAAATAACAAGGTAATTTTTATACATTTATATTTTAAAAAATAAATAAATACTGCACTGTGCTATTCATCAATTAAACTTGTGTTATTATTATCTATTGCAGTGGTTCCCAAACTTTTTGGTCTGGCGACCCACCGCCATCTTAGGATTTTTCTTGCGACCCACTTATAAAATAATAAATATTAATAGGCTATCATTATAATTATATTATTATCTATTATTATAATTATAAAGTCATTAATATTATCATGTACACTGCAAAACACACAACTAAATTAAGATTGTGAGGATGATTTCTTTTTGTAAATTCAATATCTAGTCCAATACACTATCTTTTGAGAAACTTTATAACTATTTAGAACTGAAGTTTGGCCCTAATATTTACACGAGACTTTATCTGAAATGAATGTTTAAAACTACTTACGCATTTCCACACATAACACAACAGTTTTGGAAGTCGTGCAATGCATCCAAAACTAGACCCGGCTGTCCTTGATAGTTGGTCTAAAGGTCAAGGCTAAAACAAACAGCTAGTTTTTGGACAGTAAAACTACTTTCATACAAAATGTGTTTTGCTGTCCGGTGAAGAACTTTACGATTAAATTTTACGTAGCAAATTTTTCTATGGTTGCACCAATGGCATGTAACAGTGCCATTGTGCAGCAGTCCACTGCCACTGAACTAGACGGTTGTCGCGTCTTGGCTTTGGTAAGTGGCCATGTTTCAGTTTACCTTTTTCAGTGTATTTTAATATGTTTGTAATATTCTGATATTTTTCAAATAAATCAAACATCGATGCTGAGGGAGCCTACCAGTAGATCGACAAGATAATTGGTCGTTTGGCCACTAATCAAATCAAATCAAATCAAATCATGTTTATTAGCACATAACGTACAAAGGTTACAGATAAATGCACAGGTGCTTCGTCATTCTTCTTATAGCCTAATATTACTAGACCGTCTTTTTTAATTAAATAGATAAATACGGAAAACCTGTACGTTCACAAGTTATTTCATCGTCAGTCCTTGACCGGCCTGTCAAACTAAATTATTAAATATGAGTATCCAACTAGTCGACAATTGACCCGACCGACAACCCACTTGGTCGTCTTTTAGGTGGGGATGTGTAAAGCGGCAGCGCGCGCAGCTGTGGAAGCCGCTGCATGCTTACCAACTACTGTATCTTGTAGCGGCGGTTTTTATTCCAACGATTTTCAGCTATCACAATGCAGCGGACTAGTGAGGAGTGCTAATTTTTTATTACGTGTAATTATTTGTTTCTCAATCGATATTTTTTATATACAGTACAGTGAATATAAATTTGCATCAATTTTCTTAACTGTATGGAATATGAGAACAAAGAACACACAGCCAAAAGTAGAAAAATATGAAAAATATTAGGCCTTTATTAATTTTCTTCAATTAAATCAATGTTTTATTTATATTTAGCTACTACATTTTGAATAATTGAAGAATTACATGAAATCTTCTTGCAAAAACTCATTTTGAACAATTCATTACAGCTAAGGAAGTGGTATTGATAGAATAGTTAAATTAGAATTCTCCGAAAAGAAATGTTCAGACCATTTAAAGAATGAATTAATTAACATTTTTATGTAATAGGAGGGTCAAATATTATGAACAGTGGTGAGTTAACTACCGTTACATGTTCAATCGATAAATAAATACAAATTGATAATACCGGTTATTTAAAGCCTGGTTGTCTTTATTTCTCTCTCTTAATAAATCAAATAAAGAATTAGTTTTACATTTTTGGTGACATTAATTTGTACTTTTTCTCAATTGACACTGCTGTCTTAGTAAGGAATAGTTATCTTGGTAAACTATTTATTCGCTGAAGTGCTCAGTGTGCCACTTAGCCTTAGAAACCTCTGTTGTTTTATGATTCCGTTGTAGGCCTATTGAAAACCTCGTCCAGAAGGAATTTCCATTGCCTGTGTTACCGGGGAAACGTTTTTTTTTTTTTCTGAGCGAAGTCTTACTAAGTTAGTAGGTTTACGCGTCTTTGGTTATGAATTACATGCACATGTAATTTTAATTGAATAAGTACATGCGTTATTCTGTTTATCTCACTATGTTGCTTAGACAATACTGTAGTGGGCTGACAGATTTATCAGCTGACAGATGTTTTTGGTTACTAAGAAGAGAAAAATAAACAAGAGGATTCTTTTAAGCTTTTCCAACAAAAGTGGTTCATTTTTATCCTACTAATATTATAAATGAGAAAGTTTGGATGTATGGATGTATGGATGTATGGATGTATGGATGTATGTTTGTGACAAGTGAACGCGAAAAATACTGGTCAGATTGGGCTGAAATTTGGCATGATGATAGCTCACATTCCCGATTAACATATAGGCATATTCTTATTTCAAAAATCCTTTCGGGCTCCGCCCCAGTGGCTCTGGAGTTTCCCATGTTAACCTAATGAGAAATGGAATTATTGAATCTTAACAGCTGTTTCAACTAAACAAGTTGGTTCTGTTCTATGATGTTCAATAGCATTAAAGTTACAAGGATTACCAACAGGGTGCAGCACTATTATTTCTTTTACATTTATGACAACAGCTAATTTGCAACTAAAAGGTGAGTGAGCGTAGCGAACGAACTTCAACCTGGAGGCGAGTTAGCGTAGCGAACGAGCTAACCTGAAGGCAAGTGAGCGCAGCGAACGAGCTCCAACCTAAAGGTGAGTGAGCGTAGTGAAAAAACTTAAACCAGGACGTGATTGAGCCATGCGAACGAGATAATCTTGAAAATTAAGAAGTTAAACGGGGCAAAGCTCACGGGTTACAGCTAGTTTATGTTAAATAAAACAATCATATTTAGTGAAAATCTGTAGACTTTATTTCAGGTATTTTTCCTATTTAAACGTGGTTCTTTCCACTAAAATTGGTGACCCCGATTTGAACACATCAAGAACAATATCAAGGTAAATCAAGAACACATAATGGAAATCAATGAAGAAGTATTGGCATTCTTTCTCTTTATTCTTCCATTCTTTCTTAGGTTTCCTTTCATCCTAACATTCAACAAGTTGACATGGTTACTAATCACCTCATAAGCCTCCTGTGGCGCTAGGAACAACTATTCTTGATACGAGATCCAGATGTCTCGTGTTATAATAAAGGAAACATTTTTTACCTCAGTGCCTTACAAGATCTATTTATCTCGTTCATTTCATGTTTACTAGCTGTTTTGTCAATAAAAATGCATACGTATGTACAAGTTTTATTTCTTTATGATAACTGTAAGCCGAATTATCGATGTCGTAAATTAAGGGAAAAGCCAAATTATGGGTCCCGCACTACAGGCTAGGTACGATATGAGACCTTGGAATCTCATAACAAAAATAGTTGTTCCTAGCGCCTTGGTTTTAAACGTGTTAGAAAAACATTCAACTGGAAGATCAGCTGTTCACATTTAAATTAACATTCTTACCATTATAATAAAAGAACAGTCTATGATAAACAAAATATAGGTGCTTATCTGCTAAACCCCTCAGAATTTGTGGCAGTAATAAAAAAATATTACTACAAAATGACATAGTTGTGTAGTATTATTTTATCTATCAAATTTAAAAAATGCCCCGCAAGGGCGGGTTGTGGTTGGAGGAGGTGGTGGAGGGGTAGTGATGATCTGCCGGGTTAAAGCTGCCCGTATAACAGCAACTGGCGTCATTGCTGCCACATATTTGTTGTCAGTTTACCGGTCTGGATGCGTTATTTACGCTCATGCTGACTTTACAGGGTCCGTTGCAACAGATAAAACATTTGTATAACTTCCAAAAGTCCATTACCCTTGACGTCCATGATTTGACGTATACAAGATGAAAAACCTGCCACAACAAAGCTGCCCTTATGACATGGCCCTTACAGGAATCTTCAAAAGGTGTACAGTAGAACCTCTTTAATCCGAACGTCCATTAATCCGAACCCCTTATTGCTGTACTCTATACAGAGTACAGCAGTTCTTTATTGTATACTGTATTTAATTTACAATATTGTTTATTCACCATGGTAACTACTGTATTAAATAAACACGGGTCTGACTTAGGGGAGGTACGAATGAGGCATTTAGTTCAAAATTCCTCCGTGAACAGCGCTGTAGTAGAGAGCACTTTGGCAATGAAGGTTTACTAATCGCAAAAATAGTTCTGTTCATGAAATAAAATTATAAATGCCTCAAATTCAATTTTATTATTTTTTAATTATAAAATTTAACTATCATAACCTAACCGAACTAACCAAACTTGCTGATAAAGAAATAATATAACAAAAGTTTAGTAATCGGAAAAATAATTCTGTTTATTAAATAAAACTAGAAATTGCTCAATTAAAATTTTATAATGACTTAATAATAAAATTAAACTGTAATAACCGAACCAAACCAACCAAACTTGCTGATAATAAAAAAATCTTGGACAAAAAGTTAACACTACCAGCGGGATTCGAACCCGGGACCTACAGAATATCAGCCCGGCACGCTAACCATTAGACCACCGAGGCCGATGGCTATCAACAGTTTTGTTACGGTAATGGCGTTCCCTCAGCTAATAAGAAGCCCACAGCTGTCATCGTAGCCTCTTCTATACCTCCCCTGAGTAAATACCAATAAACACTGTATTTTACTTTATAAAACATTTTTTCACTATTCCCAAAATAATGTTGATCAATTTTAGCCATGTTTTAGCTAGTCTTATGTAAAAACAACAATATGTTCTGTAATCCGAACTACCCCTGGTCCCAATTAGTTCGGATTAAAGAGGTTCTACTGTAGTTATAAAGAAGCATAAGTAACAAGTTTAAGATGTTTTATATATGTGTCAAGGGTCTTCACAAGTTTCTAGACGTATAGTTTTGTAGACATTTGTAAACAGGATTCTGTCGATGGTACTCATTTGTCTGTAAAATCATACTGCAATGATGGTGGGGTTTCATTGTGCAATCTTAATCTCACTAATAGAGATGAAATAAAAAAGGTAATCCTTTCCCTAAAGAACAAAATTTCAGTAGGCTGGGACGAAATCTCAATTAAACTGATCAAACCTGCTGCTGCCATTATCTCCGAACCCTTATCTCTTATTATAAATCAGTGTTTAAAGAATGGTGTTTTTCCAGACTCAACTTAAGTACTCCCAAATTTTTCCCGTTTTTAAGAAAGGTTCAAAATCAGATATTAATATCTACCGTCCAGTATCAGTATTAAGTAATTTTTCTAAAATATTTGAAAAAGTAATAAGCTATAAACTAGTTAACTTAATTATTTTGGAAGTAATAATTTATTTTACAATAAACAATTTGGTTTCTGAAAAAAAAACTTAAGTAGAGTTTCTGCTCTCACTCAGTTTGTTAATGAGATTGCAGAGGCATTAGACAGGTTTCGGGTTTCGGGCCACAGCAGGTGTTTTCTGTGACCTGTCTAAGGCTTTTGGCTGTGTTGATCACTCACTCCTGTTGCTGAAACTTAATGATTATGGGATTGGGGGAAGTTGCTTTTCTACAATCTTACCTTTCTGAAAGAAACCAAAGAACTTTAATTTAGTAAGATAACAACAAACATTATTCACCATGGAAAATTATATCCACACGTGTTCCCCAAGGCTCAGTATTGGGCCCACTTTTTTCTTATTAACATTAATGATCTTCCAAAAGCTATTAATAAAGAACTAATTCTTTTTGCCGATGACACTACTGCTTTGATAAATAGTTATTTGTGCAACTAGTGAGAAAAGTGAGCAATTGACACACTCGAGAGAAATCCTTAGAGAATGGTTTCTCGAGTGAGGCAATTGTACTTTGAACTCGAGTTGCACATTATACTTTTCCTACAGTTACCATAAAACAAATAAATTTGTGAAGAAACATAACCTATTTTTACACAAAAGTGAACTTTTAATATAACATTTAATGTGAAGTGACAAATACAACAGTACAACAGCTGACCAGCTGATTTACAGCCAGTGCTGCCAATGTATTTTGCGCGCATGAGCCAATATCACATAATGCAACATTTTGAGAAATTAAAAACCAGAATTTTTTTTTTCTTAACCATAGCTTTATATACATTTTTGGAATGGTATTTTACTATACTTTTACAAAATAGCAGGGGCAGCGCAGTACATGTCGATGAATAAGCTTAAAAAATTAATAAGGAAAGAAAAGTAACAAATTAATCCAGGCCGTCCCCAGCAAGCTTAGTTGCTCCCATGATATTATTTTAAGTAAATACTCTCCCTAAAACATTTTAAATATTACTTTCGGTCCAGTTTGACAGTGTATTAGCTTTAAAATTTTAAAAAATTAAGTAAAACTATTATGTACCTACCCACTGACACTGTGCCACAGCTAAAATTGAAAAAAAAACTTGTTTTTTTTTTTTAATTTGCAATAATACCCAAGGAAAAAGTTACATAATTACATTATATTAGTAAGCCTACATATAGTACAATATTGAAAAAAATGATTTTCGTACCTAAGCTGCTTTAAAATATTTAAATTGTTGATATTAGTTAGGGGGACGGTCAGGAATTGAAGGGGACGGTCTGGAGGTAAGGGACGGCTTGGAAGGGACGGCCTGGAAACATGATCAATTTGGAGTATAAAGGATGAGCACGATTTTTAGTTATGAGTAAAATGATTAAAAAAAATAAACTGAGAAAGTTTTATTATGAAAAAGGCTGTTTACAAGATTTACAATTAGTAAATGTTAGAGTTTACTGACAAATCATGAAAAGAATAAATGTCCCGATGTTTTTCAAAATTTGTTAAAACTTGAATTACATCTTGGATTTGCACGGATGCAATGTCTTCCGCTTGTGGAAAAACAAATTTGTTTCCTACAGTTTTCCGCAAAAACTTAACCTCAAAGTCACCATCGTCATATTTGCTGATAACTTGGCCAACATAGAGTTTAAATGTCTTTTTTGAGGAAAATCTCACAAGGATGAAATCCCCGACGGAAAGATCATTAATGACATCAGGCAATGGTGTAATAGGCTCAAGAGTAGAATCTTCATCATAATCTGAATATGTGTGAAGTCTTTCCCTTGATGTGGTCGCAACAGCTGAAAACCAATATTAAGGAAAGTACACAAATCTAAGTATTTTTTTATAACAATTTTTCAACCAAAAGTTAAAGTCGATCATACCACACTCAATACCTGATGAATAGAATACAAAAAAATATATTCTCTAAAAATTAAATGCAAATAATGCCATAACAAAATTTTTTTTTAGTTAAAAAATTAAATACTCTCTTCAACTGTTTGAGAACAATGTTAAAGTAAACGTTAATAAAAAACTGCTTCTTAAATTCAAACTGCAAGTAATTTGAAAATTTCTTATTATCTGCATATTCAATTTTTAAATGTGTCCAAACCATTTTTTTTAGAAGTAGCCCCATTGAAAAATAAGAGTAAAAACACAGTCTAGTCACCTAGACTAAAATACAATTGTTAAAGGATACAGTGATCAGCTTCTTTGAAGTAGTGTGGGGAAGGAAGGGCATAGTGTTTGCAAAGCTCAACGCACTGGAGGCAGGTGAGTTGTCTTAGAAATATTCTATTTTGTTTATCGTTTTTCCAAAGTACTTGCCTCAGTTTAAGTGTGTTGGGAATGGGCTTCAGCGCACCTGGGACTAGTTTTTCCACATCATCTATATCCTTGCTACCAATTAAAAAAACCTCAACATTAACTTGTGCGCTAGATTTAACACTGTTGTATACATCCTTGGCATTCAATATGTCATTTCCATACAAAACTTGCTGGTCACAAAATCTTTTTAACTGGCCTCCTACTGCATCAGCTAAGCTTTTCCCGTGGCCGGGTTCTGTGAAATTCCAAATAAAGCTTGATAACTTTAAAATTTCAGCAAAGTGTGTCATAAGGAACAAATTTATTTTGTTTTTATACTGGCTTGTAGGGCCGTCGCTTTGAATGTATATTGTGTTGATGTTTGGGTTGAGGTTAGTCATAACCCATTTTAAAACAGGAAGCAAATGGGCCCAGACTGCTGGGGCCTTGTGGCTGCAATTATCCGAAACGGTAGCAAATTGTTTAATGCAGATTTTCTTTGTCGAACTATTAACAAAAAAACAAACACCTGTTTGTATGCTTACTTGGGTTTTAGAACCCCCAAAATGAACACTTTGTACCTCTTTTGAGTACTTTGTTTCGTAGTTTTCACTAAAATCAATGATAATTATTGACTCGTGTTCTGAAATAGAGTTTTTTAGTGACTTCAGGCTTTGAAATTGGTGTCTCATGTTGAAAACATGTTTGTTATAGAGAGGCAATAGTGCATTGAATTCTTTTTTCAGATGCTGAACAGTACACTGTATCTTTTCTTTTATCGTAACGTTTGAGGTTTTGTCCCCTTTTTTTCCAGTGACTGATTTTCTTTTTCGTCCATTGGAAGAAAAAGGTTGTCTCTTGATCTTTGCAATCATCAAATTGTATGGCCTTGTTTTGGCACCTCCTGCAATATCCATAGACACAGTCATAATTGTTTGAGTTGCAGTTAATCTTATCTAATATAATATCAAGATTTTTGTTTTCTACTATTTTGCATTTCAGCAATCTGTCAACAAGAAGTTTCATATTTTCATGTTTTATGCAAAGACACGTATCTCTGTTTGACAATTTTGGTTCAACTATGTAAAATGGTTTATACCTACAGAAAGTCGTGTATGATAAAAAGTTTGTTCCATATTGCACGGAAAATTTGTTGTAAAGATTTTTTAAGGAGTCAGAGAGGAACCTTTTTTGAACTCTAACCTTTTTTCTTGTTAAAACATCCTTTTTTCCAGGAGCTATTTTACTATTTTCTTCATTTTCCAAAAATGCTGTGACAATTTTCTTTTTCTTAATACTTGTAGCAAGCCCCCTTTGTAGTCTGTCATATGATATCTTCGGAGCCTTTGCCCTATCATCATTTTTATTTCTGTACTTTCTTTCACTACTCCTTTTAAGAATTTCACTGGCTTCCCCCAGCATCTTATATTTTTTTAATTTCCCTCCGGCAACACACTTGTAAAACAATTGTTTTTCTTCATTGCTCTTAGTATTTGAAATGTTTTCTTTCAATTGAGATTTGAGTGCTTCTCCGAAGATCAGTTTCTTCTTAATATGTTTTATTCCTTGACGTATTATAAGGTTTGCCTTTTTTCTGGGGGTAGGAGATTTAGTTTCAACCATCCTATAATATTTTTTTTCCCACTTTTCTTTCAATGCCTCACTTTTTTTAAGATCATTCTTAATTTTTTCCAAGCTTCTTATTGCTTTTGCTCTATCACGTCTCAGACGTTTTCTCCCACTTACTTGTTGAGGCCGTACTACGGGTGGTATAAGCACAGGTGATGGCGGAGGACTGTTTTCCTCTAACATGTCATTAAAATCTTTCTCAGCCAGCGCTCGTTCTTTGGCCCTCCTTTTGCTCTCCCGCCAAAGTTTTCTTTGGTGTCTTTTTTCACGTGGTTTCATTTGGCCAATGTAAGGTTTTTTCCCTTCTTCCCTCCTTTTCCTACTTCTTTCACGTTCATATGTTTTTTGTGCCTCTAAACGTTGAGGGTCCTGCTTTATTTTCTCCCTCTGCTTTCTTTTTTTTCTCTAGTTCATAATCCTTTCTCTCTTGGGGCGTTTTACTCTTCAAATTCTTCTTTTTGTTTAATTCCTTTTTATTATTAGTGTTATCAGTGGTCTTCAAACTGTCTACTTTTTCATTTAAGCTACTATGAACTTGGGTTTGATCTTTTTTAGTTATTTTCGCCCTCACATTTATTTTTTTTAAGCTTTATTCTTAGCAACTGTCTCCTCTCTTTTTGTAATTCCTTTTTTTCTTGTAGTTTAATCTTATTTCTTTTCCATGCTTCAATTCTATCTTTTTTTAATTTTTGTTTAAATTCCGAATCATTAGCCTGATTAGGCATACTGCATAATGGATATGGTTCTTTTTCCATTCTTCAAAACTGAAACATAAGTATACCCTGCATAGGATTCAACTATGGTAATATTTTATGATTGAATTTGTACATATTATCTTTGAAAGAAAGTTCCTATAAAACATGTATGTATGACTTAATATACTTAATCAGCCTGTCGCGGACGCTCGTGATTAATAGCATTATTGATAAATGAATCATCTTATTGTTATTGTCTTGCAGAGATACTATTTGATATTCAATATTCGCTGATTTACTGTGTTAAATCTATTGAGCTGATTTGCTTAAAACCTGCAGTTATTTCCTAATAACAAGCTTATGGGGAAAACTAACTTTTAGGAGCCCTTGGATTACCTTAAAATTATTTCTTTATATAAAAGGGTTTCTGCAAAACAACATGTTTAGCTCTTTCCAATCACACCAAAAACTTGAAGTTCACACAAAAATCTGCTCATGTATTAAAAGTATATTGATAAATTAATCCAAGCAAATAGGTATTTTTTTATTAATGTAAATAAGCGTATAACTTTGAATAAAACCAATTACCGGTAAATATTTTGCAATGATATGTAAAGTTGCGTCAAAAACTAACTAATTGTGATTTCAAATGTAATTTGCCACAAAAAAGTCATCGTAGTGATTTGATTTTTTTTTTAATAAACAAAATTCGACCACGAGCGTTATCAATGATCATTATCAGCATTTCACAGACAAACAAGAAGTTTTAATTGAGAAGGCTACACACGACCTTTCGGGCGTACCTTAAAAATAAAAAAAAAAATTACAAATAAAAAATTCTAGGCCTAAATAAGAAAAATAATAAATAAATAATTTAGTCCTAAGCGTTGTTAAATAAAACTGCAACCATAATAATATAACATTACTCACATTTATTGATATTAAATATAAGCAAAATATACAGGGTGTCCCGGAACTCTCTACCAATATTTTAGGGCATTGCTCCTGGGTAAGAAACATACCTAAATATCATATTTAAATTGTCCGGAAGTCCTTAGTTACTCACACAGCCGCCATTTTGTTTTTTTCAGTAATTAATTTTTTTCTAAAGAATGGTTAAACTTACGAAATTGAAACTTTGCACAAACATTTATGACAACTATACAAAGCTACAAAAAAATTATGACGATTTTTCCAATTCATAAAACAAAATGGCGGCCATTTAAAATTTTTGTAAAATCAATGGTTTTTGAGTTATTTAAGAAACAAAATTTTAAATGGCCGCCATTTCGTTTTATGAACAGAAAAAATCGTCATAATTTTTTGGTAGCTTTGTCTAGTTGTCATAAATGTTTGTGCAAAGTTTCAATTTCGTAAGTTTAACCATTCTTTAGAAAACAATTAATTACTGAAAAAAACAAAATGGCGGCTGTGTGAGTAACTAAGGACTTCCGGACAATTTAAATATGATATTTAGGTATGTTTCTTACCCAGGAGCAATGCCCTAAAATATTGGTAGAGAGTTCCGGGACACCCTGTATAAGATATACGATATAAGCAAAATGATTCAAGGCCGTCCTAATTCATTCCAGTCCCCAACAAGGTTTGATTCTGAAGGGACGGTCTGGAATTGAAACATCGTTTTTGGTTAAAACTATGGCTAACCTCAAACGAAATGCCGGTTGCGAGGAGTTTACTTAAAAGTGATGTATTACAATCGATACACGTACAAATCTACATACAATTGTTACTATTACTTAAAATAACACACAGGACGGTCTGGATTGTAATAAAATCACGCTTACCTTTTTGAAAACTTATCCTCAAGTGGAAACACAACATTTACACGAAACTGTTTTGTCAACTGCACAGAGCAGAGCACAGAGTCAAGATGGCAAGCTTCTCGCTTCTCTACCAAAATAAATCTTGAGTGGGGACTAGCGCTGCCCTACGGTCGTTTCGTGGACTAAAACAGTTGCCGGGACGGCCGGGAACAAAAACTGTCGGGACATACTTTGCACTGACACAACCACTAAATAGGATAGAAACTTGGCAAGATTCATCCTAAAAAGTAATCTACAATGTTTTTGGACCATTTTATATTTCGTTTCGGAAGGTTTAGTAAGCCGTAAGTGATTTTTATACAGCTTTAAATGTCAAAAACGTGAATCGGGACACGGGACGGCCGGGAAAAAGGAGGTATTTTTGGTCCTATAAATAACACAAAATCACATAAATATGCAATTTTTTTATTAAAAACTCAAGAATACATACCGCTTAACATATTTAGGACCTTAAAATAAAATATTTTACTATATCCTCGATTTTGCGAACAAGGGACGCGATTTGTTGAATTATGTGATATCCGCTCGCATACGACGTTACCTGCAGGTTACGCGCTCACTATTTCGTGCCTTCACGTTGCAAATCTGGAGTGAGACAATGTTAACATTGTCTCACTGATGAGCGAATTGGCCACTTTGCTTTCTCAAATCAGTGAGAGAACATGTACATTGTTAGGTAACTGTAGGAAAATAGTTATTTGTGTAACTAGTGGTGAAAGTGGCACTTTGCTGCACACGAGAGCAATGTTTACGCACGAGCCGCAGGCGAGTGCGGAATGATCTCGAGTGCAGCAAAGGCCTTTTTCACTCGTGTTACACATTATATTTTTCCTACAGTCACTATAAAGCATATAAATAATTAGTCTTTCAAACACTATACAACACGTTTTTAGGTTCAGCTGGCAACACAAATGGTGCCCTAGAGAAAGTAGTACCCGCGGTCCGTATTACTCCGCTATTTGTCCTCGGCAAGAAATGTGCTCCGCGTTTTGAGAAAATAGTTCCGTATGTTTTTGTAATTTGAAATGGTTTCCGCGCCTAAAAAAAATGCTTTAAAGGTATTTTCTTGTTTATTAAGATCGTAGGAATGTTTTAAAAACGTTTAAAAGAAAAGTCCAGAAAGTTCAGAAATACCGAAACTATAAACACGAAATGACAGGTTAAATCGTAGTTATAATAGTCAATCAGCTGCTCATAGTATTATTATCTTTAAGTGTTGCCAACCTATTTCCAAGCGTACACGGATTACGTGCATAATAGAACCACACTGTTTTGTGTTGTTTCGTTGGAATCCTGATGTGCGGCAAAGTATAAACCGTACGGCAAAGTATAAACCGTACGGCAAAGTATAAATATGCAGCAATTAGCAGCTTTCTGTACTATGAACAGTACAAGGAAGCCAACTTTGTCGGGTGACTGTAGGAAAAATAATAATACAACTGAAATGTTTTCTTCTCTGCAATGTGTGGTAAAGGATATCGATGGTTTTTAGAACATGGATTAAAACTTAATGTGTAAAAACAAATATTATTTAATTTTCTATTAGATACAAAAATGTGGAAAACTGTTCTTTTAATTTAGTTGTAGCTCATAAATTCTTAGGGGTTTATGAAGATGACACAGTTAAATGGGATTCACATTTGAATTATTTACAAACTAAAATTATGTCGATATCATCTTTATTCATACATTTAAGGAACTGTGTTTCTATTGAGACACTTAAAGTCGTTTATCATGCTTATGCGGAGTATAAAATCTATATTCAGGTTACAAAAACTTATTATTCACATTATCACCAACTCTCATCCACACAGTTCTTGTAAGAAACGTTTTCAAAATTTAAAAATTCAGTCATTAACGGGGTTGTATGTACTAGAATAATTAAGTTAAATACATTTAGTAAAAAATAAGCTACCAGAAACTATACATTTTAACCAAACGTATGAAACCCGAAATGAGAAATCTCCATTGTATGCTGGGCTGAGATTGTACAATGTGCTTCCACCATGCTACAAGTCATGAAACAAAACCAAATTTAAAGAGACAATAGATAATTAACTTATTGACAAGGCTTTTTGTTTTTACTCAATTGAAGATTTTTACAGAACTTCAATTTAAAACATTTTTTTTATTTTAAGTGTTAATTATAAGTTAAGTTTATGTACTGTTAAAAATTTTATGTATGGATTTAATTTTGACAATGCACTTATCCTAAATGTTATGACAGGTATTGAATGTTTTGTACAAGTAAAGTAGGCCTATGTCTATGTCTAAGTTATGAATATGTTGGGAAAAACAAAAATAACATATTTACGCTTCTTCTAACATGAATTTAATAACAAGTAACAAAATAACTAGATTCAAGTAAAGAAGGTATTGCCATGGTCAGAATGGTTTCTGATGCAGATACTGACTGCCAAAATCACACAAAACCAGTTGTAAATGCACAAGTTCTTGTGGAACAATCACTATGAAGATTTGTAACACAATTTCACAAAACTACAAGTAAACTCAAAGTGCGTTATCACTGTCTAGCTCTTTCTCTTTCTATTCTATTACTATAGGCTTTAGAGACGGAGTTCCAAGCGTCCATGTATCGGTCCATGCACATGGCTACACATTTCTGAAACAAAAGCCACTGATCAATGTTACGAATAAATTACAAATAAATGAGTTTATTTTCCATAAAAGCATCTTAAAATATACAGAACTAGGTGAAACCCATCAAAATCGACGGTTACTTTCAAGGCTTACGCTAATTCATCTAACTGCACTAAATTTAGTGAAATTATACATATTTTGAGCATTTAGCATTGTTTAAAGATTAATAAGTGTAAAAACAATAATGATATTAATTGTGTTAGTTACCAAATATGGTTGTCATTCAATGAATAAAATATTTCCCATATTGTACGCCATCGGAGTTATTATTTTGTATGTTATCTGGTATCTCTTCATTTATAAGAACCTTTAAATAGTATTAAAATTGTATTGTTGGATCTTTTGTAGTTAAACACTTCCGTGTTTTCATCAGTGTAATGCCGATTAATCTATGACTTTATTTGAAAAAAATATCTGTTTGTTGGGAAGACACGTACTAACTTCAAAGGGAGGTATATCCGTTACAGTGTAAGTTTGATTTTTCCTTCGTCACGTCGCATCAGTTCATATCGTAGATCAGACCTAGTTTAAAAGGATAAGACCTTTCTGTCATGACAGTACCTGCTTAAATAGTATTTACTCATTGGGCCATTTTTTACAGCCAAAATGCCGTGTTATTTTCAATAATGTTACCAACCAAGTGGGCCATGGTCCATAATATAGGCCACTGCAAATAATTTGTCAAGATAAGTACCATTTTATGCAAGGTTTCTGTGTTTGGATGTTATTAGACGTAAGAGCACAATAAAATTCTTCTGCAACCATGAATTATCTGTTGGAGAAATATAAGCCGAATTATAAATGTCACAATGCTAGTTTGAGCGTTTTGTAACTAACTAACTTATATGGGTACGTTACATATATTTTTTAGGCTGCTGGTTAGATAACCAGAAAGAAGACCTTGAATCAGTGTTGTATAGGGCTGGGAAACTTTTATTTATTAATGATCGTCGCCAATAGCTTACAAACAAGGTTCCACTCATTGACGGCGCTTCAATGGCGGTTGTGCAAAGTGTAAAGTAAACAACTGCAGTGGGTGATTCTAACAGAGGTTTACGGATGATGCTAAACTCGCTTTTCCAATGTGTCACTTTCTGTTCCTACTCACCGTGTGATGCAATCGCTGGACCCTACAGCCAATAGGCCCATAGCCCATCTCTTGGGTACTTACGCCTACCCAATTATTCATAACAACCTTTTTGACGACGATCCTTGATACCGGTACTTTTCCCTAGAATACACGGCCTCCATACTTAAGAAATAAAATTACAAACGTCCAAAAACCCAGCATTGTGTGATTTTTGTCACATTTCTTTCTAATGTTAATAGATATACCAATCATTGTTTAGTTACGTAATCTATTAAATAACAAAAAGTTGTTTGTATAAGGTTGTTTTTTTTTTTTCAAACCGACACCAATAAGTTTAGGCCTACATTAAAAGTTGTTTACGAATAAAGCAATTAATGGGAAATAACATTGATTGCCAATAACTTTTCACGAGAAAATTCAAAACCAAAAAATCAATAACCTTGGGACTTGATTAACGCATTTAATTGGTCGAATGTACTTTAGTTGCTAACTGTAAACGTTGGTTTTTGGTACTGGTTCTTTTCCTTAGAACCATTGGTAGCAGCAAGAATTTTTTACGTACCAAGAACTGTAACGTACCTGACTGTTGGCGTATTTTTACGTACCAACACATCACTGTAATTTACAAATTAGTTATCGTTGGTATTGCACCTTATTTATACAGTCGTATTCAGTTTAATTGATGTCTTAACTGCATAAGTTTTGCTTTTTCTGTCTGGATTCCAAAATGTTAGTTTATGCTAAGAAAATGATAACTCATTTAAGTAAAACATTTGTTTAGCAAACCATCGTGAATTGTTTACGATTAACGCCGTTTATGTATTAATAATTCGTGGTCATCTATAGTACTTCATTTCATATAGTAAGCAGTCATTTCGACAGCAATTCGCGTCATCTTCGGTCCAAGCAAATATAAATTGTTATGATAAAATTTGATGACATTGACAAAGATTTTAAATATTAATTTTATATGTACTTTGTTATGCTTAAAACGTAACAAATTCCCTAATTAAGTTCTGTATTTTTGTGTGTATGTCTGTTGGTAATGCATTAATGTCCTTATTTCTTAGTGTCACGAAAAGGACAAGTTGAGCATGATAATGAAAATGTCAACCCGAATAAAGTGTTAAATGGTGAGGTTGAGGTAGTACTTTAAATACTTTTAACCATTGTGGAAAGTAACTTTCAACTATATTATGCCTACCTTAGGGCTATGACTCATAGATCTATTTCTCATAGTAGGCCTATAAAGCTTTTTTAGTTTAATCATTGGATTTAACATAATGGACTAACATATGACATTTAATTGTGAAGCGTTTGTTTTGGCTTGAAACTGTCAGATACTGTATTTGCGAAGGTGTATATATAATAGTTTTGCCAGCATATCTGAAAATATGCTAACAAACCAACAGCTGTTCTTAATATAAGAAGGTTTCAACTGACTACTATAAGATCCCCGTGCGTAGAACGGGCACACTAGTGGAGAATAAGTAAACTGTTGTAGTTTGCTTGTTTATGAACATATTTTAATCAAATTTGGAAAATGCATTCATTTCATACTAAACTATTACATTTTACAAAAAAAAAAATACCTTTTTACCCTCCCTGTTGCAGGAAAACCTAAGTACTCGTTAAAATAATGTTATTTAAATAGGGAATAAATGTGATATTTTTAAGGAGACATTTTAGTGTAAATCCAGTCAGGCAAATGGAAATTCGCTTAATCTGCAGGTTTGCTGCGGCAGGGGTATTTACCTAAAACATATGGGAATTGTGATGGCAATGAATTTATCAATGAAATCCATCCACTAGTGTGACGTCATGGCCTGTTTTTCTAGTGGGGCCTTGCTGCAATTCGACGTTCAGATTGTTTTGTTACGTTATCTTTAATAGTCCTCCCCAAGCAATGACTGTTTAGAATCCCGGCATTCTTTTCGGATACCCTGTAGGCCTATGCTGTGTTTGTGTGGTATCTATCTAGTATAAGTTTCTTCAGGAAATTTAGCAACGTGCAATTTTATAGTGTGGGATTTGACTTTTTTGTTAGATTACACTAAGGATGAAAAGCTCTTATTTATTTTATTTTTTTAGATACAAAATAAAAACTCGTGGGATTAAGTTTGATTTTTGATAGGTAATATCTTGGTAGCCTAACTAAAAGAAACATAGCTGATGTTATTAACAATATCTTACCTGTTCCGAATTACTCAAGGATGTTCCAGGCTGCTGTACACACTTTTTGAAACATTTTTCTGTCATTTTCTGAAAAAAAAGCTTTTCTTTAGAAACAAAAAAAAATTTATCAAAGGCTTTACAATTGGTTTGATAATAAAATATTTGATAATTTTTCAAGCCTGAGGCATGTATATACAATGGCTATCCAGAAAGTGACAGACCTTTTGCTCTTGCACGGCAGTGGGCATTCACTATTTTGGCATCTGAATTTTTCTACACACTCAGTACGCAACCAGCCGTGGTAGAGAGCATCGTGCCTTCTGTGCCTAATATGCAGTGGAGTTTTGAAAAAAGTGCTGCAATTGAAAATCCCGCCAGTTGTGAATTGCGATAAAGATTTTGTTAGCGAATAATTACAAATTTTTGAAGTATGCCCAAGGAATAATGAGGGAAAGCCGAGTGAGGTATTGGTGTACCTATTGATTTTTAAAATGGCCAAACCAATTTTTCCCGACGGGGATCTTAGCGGTATGCCATGACGTAGTCACGGCACTGAGTCGCTGTTCTGCCGTCATTCTCCCTTCTCTGGTACGTACCATAACAAGAGCATTTTAGTAATTAATAGGAAGGGGAGACCGTGGCTCTATTGAACAAAAATACATGTTTCAGTTCAGTTTTTTTTTCAACCAACATGAAAACCAACTCTTAAAATCATGTGGTATTTTTTTTTTTAATAATACTACTAATTTAGTTTACTAGTATGATGTAAGGTTTTATTCTTAACTTTCAAAATAGTAATATAGAAATTATTATTTTTTGAAGATAATTTTATCTACTACAATTTTCTCTTAGTCAGCAGTTAAGACCTGTCTTTATATGAGAACTTGGTGTGGTAGATTGGGGCCAGGTCTTTGGGCTAAATTAAGTCTAGGCCTAGGCCTATGTCATGTTCTTGAATCACAATGTCCTGTCGTTCTTTGTAAAGCCTATTCTCGTTAGTGTTGAGACCATAATTTAGGCCTAACTTAAACCACAGACAAGGGAAACAAAGCAGACAGCCAACGGTCATTCTCCGAAAGCTCACCAGAGTGCAGGCGCGTGTCGTCTGCCACGCTCTGCCATTGCGTCCTCTCTACGTTACCGACCTTCCCAACGCAAAGGAAGTGACTAACGCACGCGCGACGCCAACACTCGTGGCTGTACGCATCACGATCAAGTGTATTCACCTACCGAGGCGGCTCCCTTCATTGACGGATTTGTCACGATTTATTGTAGTGTTGTGAACTGTTCTTAAGAAAATATATATTTATATAATTGTAAGTTAATATGTAAATTTACGAAAATATTAATATTTACGGAAACATTACGGTTGGTATATATACTACGAAAATATTCCCTAAAAATTGTCCAATGTATTTCCTATTTAAAAAACATTAATTTATGTGAGCACTTAGGTTTCCTGCTAGGGGGGTGTGTTTTTTATGGAAATTTTGATAGCTTAGATTAAATAACAAAATTGCCTAATTTGATTTATTTCCCACAAGAATAACATGGGAGTTTTTAATTTACAATTTGTTTTAAAACGTAACTGTTGAGCATAGAACAATGCTTCAATATACAAAATTATTTCTTTTCTTAAGCTCTACAAAATAGTTTGGAGAGAGATTATGAAATTTTGTGAATTTAGGGTCGAAAATGGGAAAAATAGATTTTTACTTCATAAAACCCCCCATAAACCCCCGTTCCCATGGTCCGATTATGCTAGTTCGGAAAAAACCTTCGAATAAACGTAGGTTTACAGGTTTGTACCAAATTCCATCAAAATCGGATCATTTTTGCTTTAGTTATCGTGCTAATGGACATAAATACATAGTTATTGGTATTCAGTGTGACAAAAGTTTTTTTGTGTAAGTACAAAGTAAATGACGTATGATGATGCATATAAGAGGTCCAAGTCTAAAACTAGGCTTCCCAAAGAATTATTTTAAGTTTTTAAAAAATAACCTTGTTTTTAATCTTAATACAGCATTTTCTCAATTAAAAGGATTTGAGTAGATAATGCCATTTTCATACGTTCTACATTAAATATTGAATACGAATAATAGAAAACGAGGGAGGATCAACAGTAAAACCCTCATTGTAAATACATTATAAGAAAAAAATTAAGCTGTTTGATAAACATTTTAAAAACATTGGTCTATTGCATTTTTCTACACCCTGTATATGAAGGTAGCCAGATATGTTAAAAACTGCGTCATTTCATAAGATTTACAACCATACGCTACACTATTGAGGTTTAGATATGCTTTTAATTTACTATAAATTAATTGATTGTATTTTCACTTTTACTATTTCGTTAAAATGTCATATTTATTTCTTATTTTTATAACATTAGATACCGGTACTTAAGTATGCTGCTACGGAGAGGGAATTAAAGAGTGAGATTTTAGTAAATTGTTAACAGCTTAGTAAAGAAAAAAGAATTAGGCCATAGCTCAGTCAATAAAGGTTGTGTTTCGGAAGTAATTAGTGATGTGTTTTTCATGGATGCTTGTTAATTACTGTACATAAGGAACAATTTCTGAAAATACTCATCCCATCTATATTGTTGAATTTGCCAACTTCTAATTCACTAAAGAAAAATTCGCTCAACTTCTTTGCCTTCTGTAGCCAAGACAAGGGAGAGAAAGTGAAACCTCCCTAAACGCTGGCTCAGGGCGAAACAATAGACCATAAATCAACCTAACGGTATCTACAGCTGGCACTGTATTGTCACCCCATTCCTGAAAAAAATATACACACAGTTTGACAAGAGTGCATGAGGAAATAAACTCTGCGCTAAGGACTTACGCGATTGGGCGCACACGGAGTAAACCTCCGCAAACTGACACCACGTCACTGAATTGCAGCTGACAACAAAATGAGGAATTCGGGGATAAAAATAGCTTAGGAACATTCCCAGGATGAGGTGCGTGAAGTGTAGAGCTGGACACGACTGCCGACACCCATTATGCGTATTTATATTAACAAACACTACAAGTGCGGAGGAAAACTCCGCAAGCGCCCACTCGAGGGTTTTAAAATAAATAATTTATAAATACAATTTTTTTTTAAACCACTTTTTTAAACGCACTAAAAATGTAAACTAATTTATAAATATGTGGAGAGAATAAATGCATGTAATATTTCAAACTAAGAACGAGAGGCGTATGCAATGGCTAATTTACGATTGTCTTCACCTATTGAATTATTAGATATTTTTAACATCAACTAGGAAATAGAGATGCAAATTTTACAAACAGGATGATTTTTTTATTCTGTTTGAATTTATTTGTTTCCTATCGACAGCTATCCCCTCCTTATTTAAACTATTGTCAAATTGTCCAATTATATTAGTTTACGCAACGATTGCGTTAAGTTAGTCTTCACGAGACGAGTAGAAAATTTCAGGCATGAGCCTTGGCTCGTGCCTTAAAAACTTCTACGAGTGTCGTGAAGACTATTAACGTGAGTTGCGTATACTAATTTACCTATGACCGTTTTTTAATTACTAACAATCACTACTCATAACCTCTTAGAGAGGTTATGTTTTCGTTTATTGTCATAGCCAATGAAAGTGATGCAACGACTTAATGTATAATCAGCTGATTTCATGTAATTGCGTGTTTGTAAAACTTCGTTAAATAATACGTTACTTTTTCCAGGGAGTAGGTTCTGCTAGCAGTAGTCTTACCATAAATACTGTATCAGGTACATTTAGGGAAATATTGCATTTTTTGGATAACTGAAACAGTTAATTTACAGTTAGATTTCAGCATCAAATATGTGGTCCACAACGAGTTAGTTGAAAAAGTTGTTAATAGGTTTTCTAAATAAACCAGAAGCACATTTCCATCAATTATTTTAACCTTATTTTGTTTCGTCCATTTAATAAATAATTGGTATGTAATTTCATACTTTTGTTTCGATTTCGGTGGCAAAAGATTAGCACAAACAGTATGTGCTCTCATTTCCATCTCGTCAACTTCACTTTCACTAACTGACATTTTTAAAATAGGTTTAATCTACCTTCCTTTTAACATCCACCAACTTAGATTAAGAAAAGCGAGTATGAACAGAAACAAGTCGGATCAACAACTAAAATTGTCAACTGATCAGCTGATCAGCTGCGAAGCATTACAATGTTACTTCTTTTCTCTCAATCCTTGAACCTCATTGGTCCATTACCCGTGTTGTTATGAGAAAAACTATGCTGTTATTAAATAAGACTATACTGTTATGAAAGTAAACAGCTGTTGAGTGAAACTTTTAAATTCTAAGAACTGAACTAAAATGGTTACTTAAAAAAAACGGTCGTAGGTAAAAGTATTTACACCTGACTTCAATTGATATATTTGACTATATATTCTTCCAAAATGTACAATTGAAACTTTCGAAGTCCATGGGGCGTAGCCCAAAGCAAATGTTAATTGTAAATTATTAATATTGCTTTGTCCTCTATCCATGATAAAAAAAAGCAAAAACAACAATAATAACGTAATAATAAAAAACAACAATCAAGTTCAAAGTGAATATTTTCTAATACCGTAGACTAAGGAAACAAAAGGAAAGACTTTTATTTCCTTAGTCTATGATACTGTGCAGAAAAAAATATATTCTCGCTATCTTGCTATTCATCTAGCTGTGTTTACGCCGGAGTTAGGAACACGTGGTTTTTTTCATGTTCCTAAAAACCGAGAGACTGTTTTTGATCATAAAAGTGTTGAGTTTGGATACAGTTTTTTCGATGTTTACAAACAAATTTGCTTAAAATCAGAAGTCGGTAAAGAGTGTTCGTTAAAACCGTTCAATTTATAACATAATTGCATGGAACATAAAATTTATCCCATTTCGTGTAGATTTCAGTAATAGATCTTACTTGTATAGGATAATCAGATAAATTATTTTTTTACGAACGCATGACCATTTTGTCTATTAATACAATGCTAATACTCCTTTTACATTCTCTAAACCCTTTACGTAAAACAAGACATACTTCAATCAGCGGTTAACATTTTAAACTGTTAAAAGTGTCTAAATAAATTCAT